CCGTGCAGCTAACTATCATGCAGCGTTGTCAGAGTGCCTGTTGCAAGGTGCCTACAATAAAAAGTGCCCTCAGCACAATCCAGCCATCCTGACACTACTATTTGGGGGTGCTTTTTTATGTGTCGGGCCCTGTATGTGCTTTCTGTCCTATAATTCTCACTTGAGGCCATTTTGTAAAATAATATAATAGTTTATTTTTACATCATTTTGTGCATTTTTCCTTCTCACTTCTAATCCCCTTATTGAGCCCAGTTTTTTTAACCGATGAGAAAACTCAGGTTCAGTAGTTTGCCCAAGGTGCAGAGCTAGTAAGTGGTAAATAAATATCACATGTAGACCCTGTCTGCCTAACTCCAAAGAGTATGTCTTTTCTACAATGAATTAGTCTGTCAGTCTGTTTACTTTTTAATGGCTGAGATCCCAATTTGTCTTACATGATGAAAACCAGTCAGAGGCAATGAAAGGAGCAGTGTTGGAGACTAGCTCCAACTTTTGAGGTGTCTGGAGGCAGCACAGGCAGGACCCTAAGATGGGAAGGCGTCGGCAAGCGGATATTCCAAAAGGGGAGACAGGAGCAGGTGCGAGGAAGACACGGGAGTCAGGATAGGGTGCAAGTCTTCCTGCTGTCCCTTCAGCAGGTCTTTATTTATACTGTGTAGCAAGTAGTTAATTGTAATAATGCGTAGGGTAAGTTAATGAGATATCTCCATAAAACATTCTCAAGGACAAGGGGAAAAAGCATTCATTCTTCTCTTAACAATTTATGGTATAATAGATTATACGTTTTGTGATAGTTATCACATGTACAGCTGTTTAGTTATCACTCAGAGGAAGAGGGGTCTGGGAAAGGGTGAGTTTGTTAGCAAAAGGTTGTTAGGGGTCTTGGGGTAGTAATAAATTGTGTTAGCAGTGTTATCAGTGATTGTCTAAAGAAAAGCTAATGGCTGGGCCCTCCCTGATGGCGTAGCAGGTTAAAACACAGCACTAAGAAGCTTAAGCCACTTCTGCATGAGTTCAATTCCCGCCTGCCCCGAGGTGATCCACATGGCGTGGCAGACCTCTCCTGACCCGCCCTCTGCTCCCCTCAGCAGTGTACTTCGTCGATCTGTCTGTTCTGCTCCCCACTCTGTCTCTGGTGAATCCTCTCACCCTCCGCATCTCTGGCCTGTACCCCAGTTCCATATGAAGAAATAAATAAATCTTTAAAAAAAAAAAAGCTAATGGCTAATTTAAGGCTAGCAGAGAGTAGTTAGTGCTTGTTTTAAAAAGGAGTAAATTAAGAGAAAGTTGTACAGTTGTATATCAAACAACACCTGTGTAGTCAAGGTTAAAATTTGTCCATTATGCCCTGGGAGCCTTATCTGAGGTTTGCTTTTTTATTTAAAGAAACCAAGGAAGCTTCCCAGGAGTTTTTATGTCCCTGGGTCTTATTTCTCCTGGGGCTTGCCTTTTGTCTCAGGAGATAGAGGAATTTCTCCTCCGGGGGCAGCTTGCCTGAACCAGCAGCCGCCTGTGTGGCTAAGACAATCCAGTTATAAACTGAATGTTGCTCAATACTTTTTGATATTATGATTACACAAAAAAGGGAGGTCATAACATAAGTTAGCAGTGGACAGTCTGATTTTTCAGAGCTTATCCCGAGCCACCCGGAATCTGTCAGACGATGGATGTTGCATAGCTTGTGTCAGAGCAGAAATTTGGAAAGTACATAATTTGCTTTTAAACAAAAATCTAATTTGAAAAATGTTGGCAATTAAGCGCAGTCCTGGTTGGCTCATTACCATCCAGAGTTCATTAGTTCCTGCCTGGCCCGTCTCAGGATGCTTCTCCTGAGTATAAGGCTATGGCTACAACATAGTCAGTCAGGCTTTCTGAGCGTGTTCTGTATGGATTGCTTGTGGAGACTCTTTCTCTCTCTCTATAGGCAAAAAAAGATCCACCTGCAGACCCTGCGGGCGCTGTCAGAAGTACAGAAAATGACACCAAGAGAGAGGATGCGTCTGAGAAAGCTCCAGGCAGCCGATGAGAGAGCTGGGAAGCTGAAGTAAGCGGCCTTCCTGAGGGTACCCCACACCCTGGGCCGCTTCCCCGGGCTCTAAAGGAAGTCACCCAAGGAAAGCAAACACCAAAACCAGACATCAAAACACACCTGATCACTGTTTTGTTGTTGTTGCTGTTGTTGTTTATCCACTCCCTTGTTTCTTTAAAAGATGGTTATTTCTGCCCATTGATGATTGTTGGAGGCCAGGCACCATTAATATCAGGCCTTCAGTCTTTTGTGAATAGACTGTCAATGATGGAAACACCAAGTCTGCCTTGCTGTTGCTGACGCCTCTGTACCTACAACAGGCCGCGTCACCGTCCCATCCTCCTCCCCAGAGGCTCCCTGTTCCCCATCTGCTAAGGGACCTGTGGCCTCTGTGGGGAGAAGGACGGGCTGGCAGGAAGTGGTTGACCTCAGGCAGCAGACTGGAGGTGGCTCTCTCTGTCTAGTGCGGTCCTGGGAAAGGTGGCAGTGACGAGAGTGAATATTTACACAGCAGAACTCCAGAAAGTCCTCGGTTCCTCCCACTTCTCAAAGACTGGTTTTTCAGTTGGTGGGTTATCCAGTTTTCTAGTGTTTCTTCTTCTTCCTTTTTTTTTCCTCCTCTGCCAACTCTCTGATTGATTAGAATCTCCAACCAAGAAACAAGAGAGACAGAAAAGACCTAAACTCAAATCTGTCCATTTCGTGACTTTGTTAATGTCCGAAAAAATGGTTCAGAGGTGTGCTTGTGTCAAGTAGATATCGGCTTGACACTTTTCCCTAAAGGGATGACTTCTTGAATAAATGTGGGAGGTTTCTCTGACAGGAAGTTAGGGCGTGCTGGCCAATGTTTACAACTAGCTGTGACTAGGGACCGGAGGCGGGAGTGGTGGTTGCTGATTTGTTTGCCAATTCCTGTGGTGTAAATACACCCCGAGGGCCAATATCAAGCTACCCATGTGGCACCGTGGAGTGTTCAGGTGGGAAGATCAGTACAGTCTGCCCTTGGGAGCCAGTAGACTGTGGTTTCTGCAGACCCCGATATCACTGAGAAAATACACTCACACTCTTGCTCCAGCCACTGCCTCAGCTCCCGGTCCCAGATCTGTTCCTAATACCTCCAGCATGGCAATATATCCACAGTACCACAGTTGACAGAAAAAGGGAAAATTAATCTCAGATGGGGTAGATTAAAAAGGCAATTTAATGCCTTACATGTGCATTACAATTTTTTTTAAAGATTTATTTATTTGTGCATACAGAACTGGGGTACAGGCCAGAGGCTCAGGAGTGGTGAAAGGCTTCACCAGAGACAGAGTGGGGAGCAGAACAGGCAGATCAATGAAGTACACTGCTGAGGGGAGCAGCCGGCGGGTCAGGAGAGGTCTGCCACGCCATGTGGTCACCTCCGGGGCAGGCGGGAATCGAACTCATGAGGAAGCGGCTTTAGATTCTCAGTGCTGTGCTTTAACTCGCTGCGCCACCTGGGAGGGCCCTGTTCAGATTTTAATTCTTTATACCCTAAAGAAAGTCCTAGATCTTCTACATGGCATTTAATGCTTTTTTTCCTAAGGTGATGCTTTTAAAATTACATTTGCCCTTGATTTTGTGAATGAGGTTCACTGGAACTGTTTGTGAGCTGTTTCCTCTAGGATTTGAGAGTAGCCGTGTGTCGTAGGTTGAAAATGCATGTCTTGTCACAGTTACCATGTATCCATGTCACAGAAAAGGAAATTTGACCAAAGAGGGTGTTCGGTGACTTTCAGAAAAAAAATCGAAGTGTAAATTAGCACACAAGTACTCCATTCTTTCTTCTAGTTTAGTAGCCATCTATTAAATTCAACTCTCCTGGAGGAAAGGAAACAAAACATGCCTGAGACATAGCTTGCTCCTGGCTTAGGGCTTTGTCTGTCCCCAAAGCAGATGCTGTTACTAGCCCGTGGCCAGCATGTGCTAGGCATGAGACGCACTACCCTGCTGGCACGGCCTGGGAGCACATGGGTGGGTGCTGGGTGCCGCTGTACATGAGGTGTTCTGAATTTGGACCAGGAGCCACATCGTCCTGTGTGGCGTCACCAGAGGACCCTGTGACTCCTGCCCTGACACATCTGCACACAGCTGGCCTGGCTCCCCACCTCCGCACCTTTGCTTGTTGAAACAGGGGTCCCACTTACCTGCATGATGCAGATGTGGTTTTAGCAAGTGGCAGCCATTTTCCACATTCAATTTGCAGAAAGCTCGTGGAGGAAAAATATGAAGAAAATAGCAAACGACTGCAAGAACTGAGATCTCGGAACTTTCAGCAGCTCCATGTCCACGTGCTCCATGTAAGTACTCTCGTATTTTAAATTTTACGTCAGACCTTTTCTTGCTTCTGATAATTCAGCTCTTAGAGTGCACCTGAACGCCCTGCTGGTCTTGTTAAAATACAGGCTCTGATCTGGTCAGTCTAGGGGGCCTGAGGCCCTGCACTTGGGTCAGGCTCCCAGGTGATTCTGACGCCACTGGCCCAGGGCCACCCCGGCTCATCGTGGGCAGGACTGGGGCCCTCGAAGGCAGCATTTCACTGCTGGCCAGGGAGGACCTGGAAGCAGCCACCAGTAAAGAGCCCTCCTGATAATTTCTCTAGGAAAAAACCCTTGAGAAGGGAACGGAAGAAGAGGAGACACCCGAGGGAGGCCTGGCTTGTGTGCCCCGGGAGCAGGATGACGCAGAGGCGG